CAGAAGGGAAGACGCATCGTACACCTACCAGCAGCACGAGGTATTTAGCATCGGATACTACGTGCGATGCTCGTACGACGACGCGTTATCGGTATATCGATTTCGTCGCGACGAAGATTGCGTTGCGTGGTTCGTTCGGCAACTCGAAGATTTGGCGCATCAAGTAAAAATTCTGTTATCCGCGAATGTCCCCATGGAAACGTTGTCGAGAGAGCAGTGGGAGGCATATCGTAGCGCGACGCGTTGTCACATTTGCGAGAAATCATTTGCGTCGGACGACACGCGGGTATGCGATCATTGCCATCTTACCGATCGTTACCGTGGTCCCGCGCACTTAAATTGTAATCTAAATTATAAAGATTCGTATTGCATTCCCATAGTATTTCACAACTTATCCGGTTATGACACGCACTTTATCATCACGGAAATAGCTACGGCGTTCGAAGGCAGGATCGACGTGCTGCCGATAACAAAAGAAAAATATATTTCGTTTACAAAACACGTTAAAGATATCACCGAGAGGTCAGATTCACGAAATTGTGTACGCTTGCGGTTCATAGATTCGTACAAATTTTTAAATACCAGCCTTGATAAATTGGCATCTTTTCTAACGAAAAAAAATTAAAAATTTTACGTTCCGAATTTTCCACGGTCTCAAACGAAGATTTTGATTTGTTGACGCGCAAAGGTGTCTTTCCATACGAATACGTGCATCGCGCGGACAAGCTGCAGGACACGCACCTACCGCGCGAATCGTTCTATAGCTCGTTGACCGGTGGCACGGTGTCGGAGAACGATTACGCGCACGCCGCGAACGTCTGGCAGCGGTTCTCCATCCGAACGCTCGGCGAATACAGCGATCTATATCTCAAGACTGATGTCTTGTTATTGGCCGACGTTTTCGAAAATTTCCGCGAAAGTTGCGTCGCGAATTATGGACTCGATCCCGCGCATTACTACACATTGCCAGGTTTCACGTGGGACGCCATGTTGAAACATACGCGCGTAAAATTTGAGTTGCTCACCGACATCGATATGGTTATGTTTATCGAACGCGGTATACGCGGTGGTCTCAGTCAATGTTCCGACAGATACGAGCAGGCCAATAACAAGTACATGCATTCGTACGACCCGTCAAAACTGTCGTCGTATTTGATGTACTACGACGTAAATAATCTGTACGGATGGGCGATGTGTCAACTGCTGCCCTATGCCGAATTTCGATGGATGGAAGACATTGAGAATTTTGACGCGAGCGCGATCGCTCCGGATTCGTCTACGGGTTATATTCTCGAGGTCGATCTCGAGTATCCGTATCATTTACACGATCGACACACTGACCTACCTTTCTGTCCGGCGCGCGATAAACCACCCGGCACGCGGCAGGATAAACTTCTCGCGACGTTATACGATAAGAAGCGGTACGTCATCCATTATCGCAACCTGCAGCAATGTACGCGCCATGGTCTTCGTATCGCAAAGATACATCGCGTACTACAATTTACTCAATCCGCCTGGCTCCGCGATTACATCGAACTCAATACACACTTTAGAACGTACGCGAAAAATGATTTTGAGAAAAATTTGTACAAATTAATGAACAACGCGGTATTCGGTAAAACAATGGAAAATGTGCGCAATCACGTCGACGTTAAACTTTTGACCAAATGGGACGGACGGTATGGCGCGGAGGCAATGATCGCGAAACCAAATTTCCACAGCCGCAGCGTCTTTGCGGAAAACTTAATCGCCGTCGAACTGCGTAAACTCGAGGTAAAATTCAACAAGCCGATTTACG